AAAGTTGGTTGTTGGTTAGAGTTGTCAGAGGTTGCAGTCAAAGTTGGTTGTTGGTTAGAATTCTCTGCATTGGTTGGGATTGAAGTTGATTGTCGGTTAGAGTTGTCCCTTTGACTTGAGGTGATCTCGGTACAGTTGACTGCAATAAATATTTTGTTTATTTATAGCTATTGTAGTAATCAAATAAATTGAGAGAATGTGAACATCCTGCAGTAAAGCTATAGAGTAACTACAGGTTAGTTAAGAGACAATATTTCAGRCATTCAACATYGTAAGTTACAGCTGCAGTAAAATAAAATATTACACCATACCTTTTAACTTTTTCAGCTCCTGCTTAAACATAGAACCAAAAGAATCTAGCCTCTTCAGTGTTGTTTTGGAAGACAATGTGAGCTTTATTGTGTTGAGGCGATTCAGCAGTTTCTAAGTAAAAAACATATTTTACAAATTAGAAAAAATTATACTTGAAAGGTCTTGAATTCATCATTTATACCTGTATTCCATCTTGCTTGACCATTAGTGATATCAATGACTGAGTAGCATTCATATGCATGTTGCGCTGTTTAAGTAAGACTGAACCTGCCACTGCTACAGAGGGCAACCAATCTATCTCTTTGTTGGATGTAGCACATGTAAGTAGTACAGAATAAAAGAGTGGTGCTCTGCATTGGAACTCAGCACAGACATCTGATAGCTTAAAATGCAACATCTCATTTGGTTCTTTTGATCTCAATATGGATGGATTTTTCTTKGAACACAAGTTCACACATTCTTTGGCCAAAATTGTTAAGATCTGTTTSATGACTGCTTTCTTTAGAGGCTCAGAACGAAAGATGGCTGTTGCAATCTTTGGGTAAGAAAACCTCCTAGCTAGAGCTTTTCCTAGAGGATGTAAGCTTTCTTCTAGATAATTCCTGTATGCTTTGTCACAGTTTGGATACTTAAGTATGACCTATTAAAATAAATATGGGTTTTAAACTACATAATATAGCAACTAGCTTTTTAATTGTTTATTTGCCTATATAAGAACGGCTATTGTGCTCACATAAATACTGATCTTTATATGTATTCATTAAGGTTATTGGTAAGTTTATTATCCAGTTTAAAGCTATAACACCACAAGTACTTAAGTAATAAGCAAAGTAAAGCCTTTAACACTTAAAATACATTACGTATAGAATATAGACAAAGAATAGACAATCGATCAGACAATCTGACCGAAATAAACGTACCTGCACAGAAGGTTTCTTGTCTATAGTAGTTGATTGCTCGGATTTTTTTGATGACTTCGATGGCGGTTTCTCAGGAAATTGTGCTGAAGGAATCGGTATTTGAACTAGAGATTGCGAAGGATTTTTGTTGCCAGGACATTTTACCACTAAAGGCGCRCTAAATACAGTCACAACAGTTGATTTCTCTTGTGCATGCGAAGACGAACTCGACGAAGACTTTCCAGGCGCTTGACTTATATTGCTTATAACTAATGGAGTAATAACATCGTTCACTGGGAATAAACATGTTCGAAAAGGTGTCTCGTTGGCTGTAGCTTTGGACACTGGCGCAGGAGTACTACAAGCGATCGAGCCGTTTGTTGTTGTTGTTTGTGAGCGATTTTTGATAGGTGACAAGTCTAAATCTTCTGAGAATCCTCTCTTAATTCGAATTCGAGACGTTGCCGACGTTAGCTCTTTCTTTAATGCGCCCCTTAGTTCTGTTAAATTCTCCGACAGCTTTAAATATTTCTTTATCTTGMCAAGACATTTCTTTGTGCAAAGATAGTGATTTTGGTCGCCACACTGAAGTTCACCGCCAACAAGCTCCGAAATTGCTCCTTTTAAATCGAATTTTGATCTACCAAATATCGATACCCTATCTTGAGATGACACTTGAAATCCGCATATTATACATTGAAGATTTAAAGTAGAAATCACTGCTTTTTGCGGAGTGGAATTAAACATAACGAGTCATCCATATCATAGAGGCGATTTCTCCTCGTGATTTTTTTGGCGGTAGCAATATAAAATTTGCATATTTTCTAACATGCAATATGATTGGCTCCCTTATCAACAATGGCTTATGACGTCGAGAACACGGTATYCAGTGAAGCCCATCAGACGGGAAGTGGGGGTGGAGTGAAGCGTAGGACCCAGGCCCCGTCTGAAAATCAGGCTAGACATAAATGGAATATCAACACTAAAAAAGTCTTATTTCACGTCTACTGAGTGCATGCGATGGTTAACAATTGCAGACAGACATCATGACATATTAAGGTGTTTTCAGTCTTAAGACTGGAGTATTGACAAAAACATACAGTTCTATACTGGTAATGATATGATTATTTTGGAGAGCCATGGTCGACCAGCATCCCTTGCGAGTTCTATGAATTTTTGGAAATACGAATACATTGTATTATAAAGATAATGAAAACTTACTCTTTATTATCCCTTAATGATCTATGAATGTCGGAAATATTGTAAGATTCGATCTTAAACCGATGTATGGAAACGCATTGCGAATGAATATMAAAAATCACCTCCTTTTCCACAATTTTCAATCAAATACACGACCGCATTGAATGCTGGTTRACGGTGGCCCGTCAAATCAAAATTCATTGGAATGCAACATAAATRTAGAAAATAATAACGAAAYGAAAGAATCAAGGGCATAAATACCGTGGTAATTGCTCCAGCTAACGATGAAAGGTCAAGRATCTGCACTCGTTTTCTGGAATGATCCTTAACCTCGTAGCAGACGGTTTCCCCTACTTTGGGRAACACTCTCTCAGATGATGGTATAGCATTTAACAAATCACTGATTTGCTTCAAAATGTTTTCGGATCCAACTTTATGGTAGAAAATGTGGGATGCACTTTGTACCTGCACAAGAAAATATTGTGAGAAAATATATTACACGAGACATTCTCTTTGGTTTGAGAAAGAGACAAGTAGCTTGAAAGGAGTGAAAAAACGAAAGCTCAACTAATAAACAAAAAAAAACTTATACACTGTTCCAGACTTCGTAGTTGGACAGCAAACATTACTTTTTTAGCTCATAACATACCCATGAAATCTTCAACTTGATTTTCACAYTCTTTGGTGATGTTTGCGCAATGTTAGGAGCATTAAGAGAACTTGATGGGGATTTTGGAATAGATTCAGTCTTGCATACAAATGGAGTAGCAGCCATCTTGTCATTTATACATACACTGGGTGTTGTTTTAGTGAACAGTTCAACTTCTAGTATGTGAGCCTTAAAATGAAGTGTTAGGCATATTACGGGTCAAATATTAASACGAAATAAAACAAATACAGCTATCTGCACAAATTTTGGCCGCTAAATAAACATATATCATTAAATATCGAGGCCATTATGCTGTGATAGTTGCGTGCGAAAAGCGGATGTTCTGAAAAACAAATAGTCGCCCGAGAAAGTGAAAAACGCGCTACTGATAGTAGCCCTACGCAGAAGGCACTATCTCGTCACGTGGTCGCCTCTCCACCAATGAGAGCGAAGGAAAATTTGCGGTTGAATTATAAACATCAATAGATTCATAATAGATTCATATAAATTATTTTATAGTGTTCAGAATTTTATGAAATGCTTCCTAATATTTGGCTTTATCGTCTAAAAACGTAGCTGACGGTAGAGAAGAGTGATAATACCTGGTTTGGACTAGCTGGTRATTTTCTCTTTGCCCTTAAAGTCTTGTCTCCGATCAAATCTTTCAAGTACTTTGCACCCTCTTTCAAAGAGTCTGATGAACTATAGTTGATTGACAAACCTACAAATGTCAGGGCATGCCAAATAAGTAAATTATGGCTTCATTAGACTGTCTACAGCCGGGGGATTGGACACGAGTTATCCACAAATTCACGTCTATCAAAAATGGCGCAATATGAAACGRTCGCCGACCAGAGRGTACTGGCCACGAAGCACTTAAAGGAGGTCTCAAAGGCCAGCCTCCGTATAGTAAACTTCGATGGYGTTTTGMAAGACTGTTTTGTTATAAATAACATATTTRTACATCTTTTACACTTTGACACATGCGATCTTMGCAGTGTTTTTAAAGGGACATGGTCCACTAGCATGCAATGCGGTCGTGCTTTAGATTTTTCATATATGGAAAATGAGGTGACTTCGAATATCCATTTGCAATCCGTTTCCATCCATCGGTTTAACGGCCGAATCTTAAAGCATCTTCATTCATATAGGATAAAGGAATAATAAACAGAACGTTTTTGCTTATATTACATAAACAAAAGCTCGAAAGGGATGCTGGTGGACCATGTCCCAGATGTAAGACCTTTGAGGTCTCGTTTTCATGATTCGTCACTAGTCTCCCGATAATRATGGTCGTGAACTACYGCCATTTTTGAAAGTTGTGTATTGCGCAGCTTAGTTTGTGGCAACACGGAACTCACGCAAATAGAAAGAGCGTATTCAAAAAGTGTGCAAGTTTGTTGTGAATTGAATCAAGACGAAACGGTTTATAAGAATTTGAAAATGCCACAAAGAATTGTAACAATTGTCCCTACAACCATAGATTTTAGTATAAATTCTAGAATATTCAAAATTTTGTAAATCCTTAGATTTTTACCCAGGCTAAACCAAACTTTCAATTTTTATAAGCTTTGCTTTGGTCAAGATCGATGAGTTTCATATTTTCACAAACAAGAATTAAGAGACTTGTTCCCAGACCTCCAAGTATGTAAAATGCTCTAGGTCAATAAGACACTGGACGAAAGAATGAATGGGATAGATGCATGGATGGATGGAAAAATATGTGAACATACAATTACGTAACTAAAATACAACAAAATAGTAGTAATTGTACTTGCCGGCTAAGTGAAAAGCATTTGCTTGAGGGGCAAGAGACAGGTATATTGACTCTAAAGACGAGAACCTCTCTATGGGAATCCATTCAACATTACCATAGTCTAAATACAGTACTTTGGCATGACGATCAAATGAAACATCCAGAACAAAACACCTTACAAGATAAGTGCATATTATTAGTCATGGTCAGTCACACATTCCCAGTCACACATTCTCTGTCACAAATGAGTAAAAAGATAAATTTAGCACCGTTAAAAATAGGTGAAATAAATGAAATAGGTGAAATAAATGAAATAGGTAAAATAAATGAAATAGGTGAAATAAATGAAAGGTGAAATAAATGAAATAAATGAAATAAATGAAATAGGTGAAACAACTTACAGACGTTTGGGATGTTAATTCTTCGTCGTTGCTCTTTTCTCCGACAAAGAATTAGCGTTCGAAACGTCAGTAAGTTGTTTCAGCTACTATCTTTTTATACAACTGTTTCTTTAGAAACAACTACGCAGCCCACACTAGTTAACCGCTAGTTTCAACCATTCTCTAACACACATTATTATGGTTACAAAAGGCAATCACCTCTTGCCATCACTAACTAGCCTCTGAATATTATTTAGATTAATCTAAATACATCGAAATAAAACTAGACTAAAACGTCTTTGCAGTACTTTAGGCCTGCCTACCTGTACCACACATTGTTCTCAGTGAATTTTGCTGCCCCTAGAGTAAACCTCTTTGGAACAACAGATTTCTTGGKGGAGCCATTCTGTAGGTGTTGTTCTAGTTGTTCAAGCTGCTGCCAATTACCAGTCTACAAAAATAATTAATGAAAACATTGTAAACAGGAAACAACCTCGTTCATATTTCCTTTTTCCGGCATCTTGAAATAAGCGAGCAGAGAAGACCTAGGAACGAGGTTGAAACAGGAAGCCCAAAACCTAAACAGAAACATGATTCTAGTCATACCTTGCTATCAATAATTGCCCAAAAACGACAAGCATCCACTACTTCTGTGACAAGTATATCTATTTCATCCGATAGTCCTTTCATCTTTTGCTCCAGAGGATGCCCAATGGCATTACACATYCGCTCCATGTCTTCTTTGTTCAATATTAAGTGAACATCCTTTTCTAGAGATTTTAAAGGAATAGGAACATTRATAGATGAAGTAGTTGATAGGGTGTGTTGTTGTTGGTTTTGTTGGTGTCTTGGCTGTTGTGGTTGTTGTTGCTGGTGTTGTTGTAGTTGTAGTGCTTGTTGTTGCCTTTGTTGTGGTGGTCTTTGCTGTTGCTGTTGCTGCTGATGAAGATGTACTTGCTGTTGTTGCTGTAATTGCTGTTGCTGGTTTAGCTGTAAATGTCCTTTAATTTGTCGAGGATCTTGATGAGAATAATTCCCTTGACTGACCGGGGCCGGCAATCCTGGTCTTCCAGTATGTGGTGGCAAACCAAATGAGTTTTGAGAGTTGGGAATATTTTCTTTTGAAGAACTTGAGGTTGAAGATCTATCAAGACTTGAGGGATAGGAAAAACTAGAAGGTGATTCCTTATTTGGAAATCCTACAATGAAAAAAAACAAAAACAAAAAACAATCAGATTAAAAAACAATGAGAAATGTCTGGACGCTCTCTTTCATAGAACATCTTAAGCTTAATTGCAAGTCGTATTCATTCTTTTTGTAAAATTCAAAGTGAAAAAAGTTGTTGTACAGTAGTTTAACTTATTTAAGCTCATTTAAGCAGATTTTTATAACTTAATTTGAGAAAAACGTTTGAAACTTAATGATAGTTTGACCTTCAACTTTCATTTGAGATTTTGAAGCGAAAATAATCACATTTATTTATYTGACATTTCCTCAAATGAGTCTACTCTTAATGTGAAAACTTGCAAAGTAATTAACTTGAAAACAAAACCTCAAAATATTTAATTTAAATCAGTAAACTTACAGTTTTTGTAGTGCAGATTTTGGTCCAAAAATGTGCTTGAGCCTGTAGTACTGAGAGGTCAGCAGCTAAATGAAGCGCTGACCATATACACTGCAGGCTCAAAAGGCCAAAACATATAGAACCTCGTTACTTTAATTTCCAATACCACTCATTTGAAAAATATGAATTCAATTTTCTAAATTTCAGACTGCAAGATGATGTTAAAATGCTCAAGAGAGCATGGCATATCATGGATCGCAGGATCTGTTTTTAAAAGATCGAAAAACTCAACTATTGCAAGGACTACATCTAACATCAAGTTCATATTACTACAAGTATAATTTGCACATACTTATATTTTGTGCTTGGCCAGGTTTTTGATCATCTATATATACAGTAACATTGCTTCCTTGAGGGTTTGATAAACTGAGTGTGCAGCCATTAAATGAAAACTCTTTCATGTACTTCGCAGTTGTTAGAGCTTCCTCAGGTGAAGAGAAACTTAATGATACGCTTCTAATAAACCAAATAAACAACAATGCTTCATTACTGAATGATACAATGTTGCTATGATTAATAAATAATTATTTAATAAATAATAATGAAAAATGTCAAACATGAGTTAAAAAAATGAGAAATATGCCAAAAATGTATCCAACATTACTCAGAAAGGCTTAGTGGGCTGATTTCTCTTGTTTTGCCCCCCATCCCCACCCCCTCTCCTCCCCCTGTCTGTTAAAAAGGGCTGGCTCAAGATTTTGATACTCATCTCCAAGAAAATTTTGGGATTTGCCATACACCTGCAGTTCATATCTCAAGCCAGCATCTTGATGAAACAAATAGTTTGAACTTTTTAGCACAGTTAAAAACAGCTCAAGACAATATCCACTTAAACTCAACATGACTGTAGCATAGCAGGGGCACGGCCAGGGCAGGGCCAGTCATGCTGCCTTTGCAAAGGACGAGCTTTCATCTTTTGTTGAACTTTATAATGCACCAATATGTCATATAAGTAATATCTGATGTTTTCTTTTGCTTTTGACTGCATTTGTTTGACATATGAATCAGCATCGTACAAAATGTATTTGGTTCAACACATTGTTTATATTTGGTTTAGCCCAATGATAGCACAACATATCAGCCGGTCAAGAAAACATTAAAATAACTAAATTAATATAACATTGTTTAGTATTGATACCTGTCTGGCTGGACATCAATATTCTTTACCATCCCATATTTTGAATAAAGTTGCATAAGCTCAATCTGAATCCAAAAATACATGCATCCAATAACTTGCAATAAATAGTCTCAGGTAGTTATACATATCTCAAAAGATTACCATTAACGAACTGATGCAAGTGGTCGTGGTTTAGATTTTTTGTATATTAAAGGGACATGGTCCACCAGCATCCCTTTCGAGCTTTTGTTTATGTTTTAAAATAGAAATACATCGTAATATAAGCAAAAACTTACTCTTTATCATTCCTTTATCCTATAAGAATGGAGATGCTTTAAGATTCGACCGTTAAACCGATGGATTGCAAATGGATATTCGAAGTCACCTCATTTTCCATATATGAAAAATCTAAAACACGACCACATTGCATGCTAGTGGACCATGTCCCTTTAAAGAGTTTTACTCCATTCATTGAGCAATGCAGATGGTGAATAGACTGGGTTTTTTTGTGTGTGTTTTTATTAACAATTTATTTGACATATTATAGAAACATAAACAATTAATTTTGATTAATTTGTATTAAACAAAAGATTGGTTATAAACTATAATAAACATTATATTATATTATTAATAATATTGTGTTTTTGCTTCAAAGGTTATTTCAGCTGTATGCAATAATAACAAAAATGAATTATTTTCATTTTGAATGAATCTTTAATTACCAACAAAACTTTCAAAATCAATTTTCGAAATAATCAAARAAAGCAAAATCAGTTGCCTTCATTTGCATTGCTACACAACTACACAGTGCAGCCACACAAACTAAACAGCAACGGGCACTGAGCTGTTAAACTGAAATTTTTTGACAGCGGTAAAGGCAAAATATATTGCTAATAGCCGACTTTAGATATTTTGGTTCAGTGACCATGCACAAAAGAATTGCAGACGAGGCTCCGGGGAAATAAAGAATAAATCAAGATTATCCATTGATAATTTTATTTTTTTTAATATTGCAAAGAGTTATTTTGAAGTGCACGCTTCAAAATGACCAATCAAAGAGCGTATAATATCGTTTTATTCTTTATTTCCCCRGAGCCTCGTCTGCAATTCTTTTGTGCATGGTCACTGAACCAAAATATCTAAAGTCGGCTATTGCTAGCTTCTGATGTTATATCTGGACTGTTCACAATGCAATACAAACAATTAACGAGATTGTAACAGTTTAAAATTCATTACCTCAGATATAATGTCACTACTGGTACTCAACTTCTTGTCATGTGTTGATATGGAATTTGTCATTCCATTATTTTTTGGAGGACTAACTTTTGATATTTGGGCAGAGTTGGTCTTATTCTAAAATTAATTAAAGTACAAAAAATTAATAATAATTTGATAAATTTGGAACACACTTTCTTTGAAATGGAATATGTTATACATAAATTAACACATATAGAATACAATATGCACAAACCTCGTTAGTAGACTGTTTTGATGTCACATTTTGTTCTGTGGCTTTGCTTAGTTTTAAAATTGAACCTCTAAGTTTATACCGTTCCTTCTCTCTCATTGCCCTGACTGCATCATCCTGATTAGAAAACTTGGCAAATGCAAAACGATRATTTCTGGAGTAAGACAAAGAAATGTTAATAAAGTTCCAGAAATGCTAGAAATTTTGTTTCTACAACGCATACAAGACTGATGACTCTTTATCAGGTCTTGATCTTTGTTATTCTCAAAGAAAACAAAAAGACATCTGAAATAMAGTCCAGKGTTCGTCCAGATTTTTTCATACAAAATTCAAGGACTTTTCAATGACTTTTTAAGGACTACATGTAATTTTTCAATTTTCAAGGACACCACAATTACAAAGAGAAAAGATACAGTAAACTGAAGATGTGTGTTACCAAACAGCAACAATAAGTCAACTTTACTTAAGAACGTTCTCTTTTGGAGAAGATTTTCCTCAACTCTATTAATTTTCTGGCTGCCATATTGGACAATAGTACAAAGGTATCAAATTCTTATCATTTTGCTTCAAAGCTTGGCTAAATTGATCCCTAAAATACTAGTTAACAACAACCAAGACCAATTCAAGGACTAAATTATTGTTTTCAAGGACCTTTCCTCTAAATTCAAGGATTTTTCAAGGAAAATTTGCAATCAAGGACTTTTAAGGACCTAGCTCAAAAATCAAGTACTGACTGTATGAACCATGAAAGTGTTAAATTACGTCCAAAGACACTTGTGACTATTACAGTTTATGTATCACCTGCAGRAAAGACATACAGGACTTGAGGACTATACCCTACTATACTAGAGCGGATTTCGTATGAGTGGGAAACGGACGGTACTGTACTGTGTCCGTAATCGTACTGTAACCAAATTCTAGTGCCCCATTGTTTCACCAAAATTCTGCAGGCCAGGTCCGGTAACTGTGCAGTAACCGTGCGGTAACGGTGTCCCACTCATACGAAATCCGCTCTGTTACTATTGCTTACTATACCTGCTATTGGATGGAAAAATTTTACAAAATCTGAATGATGAGTATTCCTTGAATATCATCTCTAATTCTTCCTATATGGACATAAACAATACAATTAAACACAAAACTATTGGCTAGACTTTGTACAAGACATCCATTCTCTAACATCACCATGGATACTGCACTACATTCAGCTGTCCAGAACTGTTTACAGTGAGGACTAGTGACAACAAACTGTGTCTTTTTATATTTTGATTGTCAACTGTAGCAAGTTAATACAGCAATGGTGCAGTAAGAACTAGCGGTAAGTTAGTGTGAGCTGCATCAGTCATGTAAAAAGATAAATTAAAAATGAAGGAGTAATGTCCGAAACATCAGTAAGTTGCYTCATCTATTTTTATGGTGTTGAATTTATCTTTTTACGCAACTAATACAGCAATGTCTGGTCTGAACATCAAGCACAAAATCAAAATGCCATTATCCACCATCATTACCAAAAAATAACTCTGRATAACACTCTTGTTATGTCATAATTAGGGTTCTTTTAAAAACAACAAACTCATGTCCCACATGCTTAATTGTTTGGCCTATGTCAGGGGTAATTCAGTAAGTACTGAGAAGATTTAAGCAGGGGTTAGCAATATTGGGATACCCATTTTGGGAATTTCCTAAGGAGAGGAGGGGTCAAAAATCGATGCCGCCTGTCGTATATGGTACAAGATATTTTCTGGAACTACCCATTATGGTTTAATTCCATAACCCAAAGTAGACTGCAACCRAATTAATGGGTATCTATATACAATAGTATAGCTGCTCAAGAAACTGACACTACAGTAAGTTGTCCTGCTTAGCGGCTCTAGGCACGAGGGGGAAGAGGTAAAACTGAAGRGACCTGACCTCCTCTCCCTCCTCCCTCCCCTAGAGCTGCTATGCAGGCTAACCCTAGGTTACCTGTGTGCACATGCTTGGCAAGTCCTTGATATGAACTGCATACAGTCCTTGTTCATTTGGAGCCAATACTTCACCATTAACATTATCAACAGTTACTTTAACAGATGTTGCGTCCTTAGAGACATCAACAGTTCTTTTCTTAACCTGCTTATCTTTTGTTTTATTTGGTGAAGTAGTTGCAGGTTTTTTATCCCATTGGGAAGGATGCCTGGGCTTCTCCCCAATCCCTTTCATGCCAGCTTTCTTTGCATGACTTGAGGCATATATGTCCTTTTTGTTCACACCAAATATAAGATTTTGTGCATCTTTCTTCGAATATTCAAGTCTAGCAACGTCTGGTATAGCCAGAAGGAATTCATAGAGGCCATTAAACCCCATCTTTCTCCAATCAATTTTGCATTTCGCGTAGGTTTCATACTCGCGATGAAACTGAGTCTGTTTGACACCTTTTGGAGAAGACAGCAGTATCGCTCGAATAAACGATTTCACTTCAACAGAAACTTCCTTAKACATCCTTTGAAGTAATAATTGAGCTTACTATATCCTTACAATGACTTGAAGCACGCAAGAAGGCGGTAAATCAGCAGTAGTTTGGTAGTATTTACATGCGATAACCGGCCGCCATCTTGAGATTTGACACACGTGAGAGAAACCGGAAAAGCCTGGGCACAAGTCCAGAAAAATGCCATTCGGTTTTTCGCAATTGAATGGAAGAAAGCATTATTTGGGGGTTGTTTCGCATTATATGGTACAATCGTGGACGAAACCTACTGAGATACAAACATTTTCTTGCGATTAAAAACTCAAAGTTCTAAAGGCCCGTTTACACTTGCAATAGGCCTTTTGCATGAAACGGTACGATGGTACAAAATCCAACATATACTGGATGGCAAAATACCCACTGGGATTTTCAAAACAAAGAAAAGTCAAGCTTGATCAGCTGCGTTCCTTTTGTTTTTGAGCTTGTTTACATTCTTTTGCCATCCAGTGTGGCGGATTTTGTACCATGTGACCGTTTCATGCAAAAAGGCCTATATTTTTGCGACCATCGCCTGAGTTTCGAACATGCTTGAAATTGCCCTAGTTCATTATTACGTCACATCGAAACATTCTATTGTTTTAACACTAAGGATTATGATTGCCAGAAGGGATCAGAGTGACTGCATATCAAATAAAATGTTCATGGACAATCATTTATACATGATATATATCAAAATGCGATTCACTGAAGTTCTACTTTTAGACAATATAAATGGGTCCAAATTGCCACTGTTTTTGAGCATCTTTTTTCGCAACCTCGTTCCCAGGCCTTTTATGACTTTTATCTCTTTAAGCGAAGAGATGTAAACATACTGTGACGTCGTAATGAAATAGGACAATTTAGCGCTGCAACTTCAATTTAGCGCTTCAACATTCGCAGTACTGCTTACACGTACGATTTTAGGTGCGCGATAATGCAAAAATCGCAAGTGTAAACGGGCCTTAAAGCCACCAAGTACGAAAGAAAACAAAAGGCTCACTCATATATCATATAACTATTAATTAAATGGTGCTTTTATTTATCATAAATTGAGAAAAGTATTAATATAAATGTTTCTCAGTTTCATGAATACATACATACTGAAAGATTTGTTTTCTTTTGTGCCTATTTGACTACATTTATAAATAGAATCAAGTTTTAGAAAGTTATCGATGCGGCGCGAATAACCTGTTAACATGCAAGTAGTAACTGGTTGTGAAAATTTATTTTTGATAAATAAATGTATTTACTTGCTCGAGCACATCAAATCAAATATTATTGGTAGACTTTCAGTGCAGCCGAATGCAGCCTACAATATTGTAACTTATATAGGTTAGCTCGGGTTTAGTCTCTCTCGTTTCTCAGCACCAGTCCCCTTTGAGAGGGAGGCGGTTCAGAGTAACTATAAGCAAACTTTATGAGAACTTTTGTTCCGATTAATAATAAATATAGAGGATGTTACATGAAGCATTGTTATTAACTTGCTAAAATAAGCTCACCGATAACCATTTTTACTCGGGCTGCCCGCTGAAGGTCGTCCGAGTCTAGTCTAGTTGGCCGGTGAAAAGCTATTGATTATTGCATTGATTTGCTTTGGTTATAAAGATTATTGAAAAAATTATACGATGAGGACGAATGACTTTGATACGATAGAAGCCAAGAGATAAAGTCTTGGTTTTTTTTAGTATTCACAAATATCTCGCCAAAACTCTAACGGAGGAAGTGGGACTAGTGACGAGGGTCTTTTACTTATTATTTTCCACAGGGAAACCGACATTTAGTCAAAACTACAGAAGCAAGACTCTGCCAGGRAGTCTAAGTCATACTTTGGGAATAGCCCATGGGGGAACATACACCGTAGCACGCAGTTGGTGTAATGTATTCACAAAATGTATTGTATTCCATTGTTTCTCGTTCTATTGTATTATGTGTTTTGTATTGTACTTTATGAATATATTACATCAACTGAGTGCTACATAGGCTCTCCCGGTTTTGGACAACCTCGTAACTAGACCCTTTGGATCGGTTTGTGGATTAGGCTGAGATAGGGGGGCAATTACAATTCATTATTTGTAATAGCCCATTTGTTGGTGAAAACAAAAACGCTTCTCTTCATAAGCAAGCTATTATCCAGTCCTCTATCCATTCTATTATTCTAAACACATATAACAGCGAGATAATATATAGCTATTTCGAAAAAAAGGCTGTCGGATAAAATGGCGAATGCATCAATGGTCGAACGGCGATTGCACGACCGAAAGTAGCCATGGGTTTTGCTAGTTGAAAGGCCAATAACAACTGATTTGTACTGTAAGATGGTCTGTGGTAAACATTGGCTCCTTTTAGTCTCTACTTCTATGTAAGTCGAATCCAATAAGTGAAATTTTGTTTATCAGTGCACCATTAGTCCCTTTCGGCCATGATCTCCATTCGACAATCGCCGTTCTCCCCGACAACGTATTTTGAAGTAGCTGTATATTGCAACGAATGAAGCTACATAAAATTGCTTTTAACTGCCTAGAAATACAAATGAGCTGCTACAAATCCAACCAGGGCAATTGAAAAGAATGTAGGAAAGACGTGTGACGATCCCGCAGTAGTAGGTGCCTCTGTAGTCGCAGCCTCCGTCGGGGTCTCCTCAATCTTCTCGTTAGTATCGTATTCAGCCTCGTCACGAGCGTCTCCGATCGTTGGGTCGTAAAAGACCTTTCCCTTGAACTTAGGGAATCGGAAATTTACGGAGTACTTATCTCCCCTTTTGGTGATCTTCGGGTAGCTCTCGGTCATGTTAAGACACTGGTCGTCACCTTCGTACTGTAAAACAACCAAATAGTAAAAATTGATTTTACAGCGGCCGTGAAATGCAGTTATACGTTAATTTCAACCACTGATGATTCCGTGRTGTCTCCCCCTTCCCCCACCCGGTGGGGTTATARAATCGTTTCCGGTCCATGGACCTAGCTGATCGCTAATATGTTATAATATCTAACAAATAAATAAGGCTCGGCCGTGGTTTATATTCTCATAAACCACACTTTTTGGGCCAATCAGAGCGCGCGTTAGAAATCATCTATATAGTAAAATGATATATATTTTAAGGGAGTTTCACCGAAAAGTTTTGTTCTTTACTTATAGACCGATATACACCGATTTAAGAAAAAAAATGACAATTAGATATATATAATACGAAACACTTCCAAAATAACTTAAAAAATTATGGGATGGCTACCTAAATATATTTTCAAGAATGCCCGAGTTATGTTCGATATATCTTAAAATGTATCACACATAATTTCACAATGCCGGAACCACGCTTTGACATACATGTATACATATCTAAAAGTTTCATTTTTTTCTTAAATCGGTGTATATGTAATTCATGACATACACACACTTACCAGGCTAGGAAATTCAATAGCCTGACCGGCGAAAAAGAGCTTTTTAGCCCTTCGTCGTCTCTTGCCTTTTCCTCCTTTCATTTCTCCAAGTTTACCTCTCCCTTTCCTCATAACCGTTAGTATTATTTCAACATTTTCCCCTACTTCACCTTTCTTGCAACTAGCAGAAGAGTCGCCGCAGAATGTCCAATTTTGGAGCTAAGAAAGAATACCATTTTGGTCAGTATCTTTAAGACGTTAAAAGTGTTAAAGAACTCAGTGAATTTTCATTTGTTCTTTGTATTATGTCAACTCACCGTTAAGTCAAACTTCACCATGCCAGGAAAGATCGAAAAGTCAGAGTCGTTTCCACAAACGTTTGAACTCCCGTTCGCAGTAAAGAAATACATGTTGAATGTCAAGCTTGCTCCCGTTCCGGGAATCATGGCAGAAAAAGTGAAATATGAAGCGTTGACCTCACCCTAGACAATAGAAAATAAAGCGTTTAAACAAGATTTAAACACTAGACCCTGAAAAAATGTATTATGCTTCAGTTAATTCAATGAGATTCATTCCTATCAATTTTATTAATGATTCTGTAAATACACTATATTGGTATGTATATAGTGAGGGAACAATTTTATAATATAGAACAATTAAAATTGAAGCTTTTTTGCGAAGTCTTTGGGATTTATTGATAATATATCGCTGGCCGTGTGTACGGTAAAAATGTCTTAGTAACGCCTCAAAACATTGGAAATGACATTTCCGAGAGTTAAGATTTCAGGATTTCAAAAATTTCCGAACCCCCCCTAGTACCTCCGCCGCTAGTCCCCTCAAACAAATTCAAGCTCCGCGGTCCCTGTTAGGATGCATATTAAATTGATACAAATGAAACATTCAATCGACATTYAATACAGTCTTGCTTGAGGTCCACTTTTTTAGTACAAATCAGTATACATACTACTTAGACTTTTTATGACGAACCTTGTACATTGTTTTCTCTGTGGCTGTAAAATCAAAATCTATTGATGCAAACGATTCCAGCGAGTGTTTCAATTTCCCTTGTTTGCCAATTTTTTTCCCCATTTTGTCTTTTTCATAAATGGCATCCATGAAGACGACCATGCTTTCATTTTGGCCTTTCATTTTAACCGAGAATTTTCCTGATTTCCCCTTGATGCTAAAGGACGTGCCATCAATGTCAAGATTTCTGTCTTTCGTGAGCTTTGATTTTGGCCTCTTGTCCACTTTATTGGGTTTATTGTCTTTTTTGGCATATGTGAAGCATGCTGAAAAATAATACAACAAAAGATGAATCTTGTCCGTATTAACTTTTGTGAGACTGTTCGCAAACACGCTGCAAATTTCAGTCGATTTTAAGTAATACCCCGAGTAAGAACTAAGGGAAGCAAACGGCACAGGAATGCAAGAAGGTGCTAATTGTGCATTGTATATAATCCATCCATCCCATTGGTTAAAACATGAAAATCTGCCATAATTTCACAAGTTAGCGAATTTTCTAATATTTTATTTAATGTTTGTTTTCGCTTTCATGAAAGCTTTCTTTAGCTTCAATATTAAGGCAATTCTATGTGGGGAACATTACAAATTAGAAGCATCTTTTGGCTATTGTTTTGAGTGCTTATGATTGGATAAGAGCTTTTAATACAAAAGAAACTTTGTTTCAAAATAGATTTTATCCACATTTTATTTCAAAAATGTGTTACCCACAGATGGATACATAATCAGTGTGAAAACCAAGACATTCGTACATGGGGAACTTGCTATGCCGCAGAACAATAGAGAGTTCCCTAGTTCTTTAGCGCATTGTTACTTAAATGCTACTTGCATGAAAATGCCCTTATTTCAAAACTTCAAGCAATACAAATATATGACTCATTTCTATCTATTAAAAACAATTGCGGGAAAATATTTGTTTTGGAATTATCCCACATCAGAGACATTTTGATTCAAAAGATGGAAGAACAAAAGGATGGAGTATGAGGACGTCATTTATTCCAACATTTTTTTGCCCAAATTATTAAGGATTTGTATCAATATCTTCTTGAAATCTGTTGCTTCATGATAATTAGACCCATATAGATATAATTGTTTCACAATTTTCGTCCAAGTAGCCCTTAATTTTTTTTTTTTTTTTTGAAAACTACCTGTATAGTGTATATGATTTCGTAATATGAAATCACAGACCATGCGCAGAAGATAAAACTTCAATAACTTTGATATGGTTTGATATTGACTGAATGATTGATTGATCGATTGACTAAGTTGGCTATTGACATTTTTGAGGTTGTCGCTTGCCTGCTACCAGAGTCTATCTCGTTGTAGTTACTAGTTGGGAAGTGCGATAGTCGAGAAAGACTCTGCTAGCAGAGATTATGTTATGAAAACCTTTTTCATAGCAAAGTTGCAATCGCTCGTGCAATAATTAAAAATGCTACGATAGCAAATTTCAAAGAATAGAAAGAAAGAACGTGCTGCGTCAAGGTCAATGCCACCTCTCATCCGTGAGAATAGTCTTGATCTGACTTTATACCCAATGTATGCTCCACTTCCTTCCCCCTTAAGATTTACGTCGCGACACAAGAGTGTTTGACGAAAGCTAAACGAACTGTGAACTGTGAAACAAGCCTATTGCATTTTAGCTCTTGACTTTAACGAATGAATGAAGTTTTGAATTGTTTTACGCAATGAGTCAGGACGCAAGACTTACACAAATGACGCTTGTGGCCATCGAGAAGAATTTAGTTCTTTCTTTGTTTATACCAGAGTTAGTAGTCCCCTCTACTAACTCTGTTTATACCGAGGTGACCATGTGTGCTTCAATACTTTACTGATGTGCTCCTCAACATTGAAATATTTCAGCTTAAAATGTACACTTAGATTGAGTGTTGCGTGATGAAGGAAAAGCTAAAACTGATGACGAGCAATACTCAATATTCTGAATACTCAAAATCTGTAATCAATAATAAATTGCTGTCTCTGCTGCAGTCAATATGACGTCAAGAACGTGGGTGGCACGGGTGGCCTAGTGGTTAAGCTGCTGGCTTCTCACCGCTGTGGCCCGGGTTCGATTCCCGGACACGGACTATATGTGAGTTTGAGTTTGTTTGATGTGTTGTTCTCTCCCTTGCAACGAGGATTTTTCTCCGGGTCCTCCGGTTTTCCTCCCTCAGCAAAAATCAACATGTGAGGAGTGTTGTGCGCTAAAATACTTATTGTAGAGGTAGTGAGTGTGAGAGTACAGGGTCCGCAGTAATTGGCTCAAGCTGTTGCGGTGTCCCTGCCCATACTAGGGGCAAAGCTAATAAATTAAAAAAAATTAACCCCTTCGAATGGGCTGAATCTGTTCGTTTTGCTTGCTTGCTTTGATCGCTCGTCCTTGTGTCGTTAGTGAATCGAAGAATGACTTAATGTCAATCTAAATCTACATAATGGCAACTTAGATCGAAAAATAGAGAGTTTCAAGCCAAGTTTGTAATTTTGGCGGATTTATTCGCTTGAATATATTGAATTTTGTTTTAATTTAAGGCATAACATCCTTAACTGCATCATCGTTTGTTATTTGAAACAGCAAAACAGGCGGTATTTGCCTGAACAACATGCTTACCTTGCCGAATGTGGATCCCTGATTAAACATAACRMACAAGAGCAAGCGACTAAAGAGGCCTAATTTCGTAGTGTTAACCCAACTGAACAGTGATAAAGCAAGCGTAAGATAACAAACTTTTTCTTTATCTTGCTATCATTTATTTTAATTTGCTAGTGAAGACGAATGCACTTGTATCAATTTTTTTCCTTGCTTTTTGTACTTGTCCTTCAGGTGTGTTGCTAGCCGATGAAGAGTAAGTATTTCATTTGCTTCTACATAATGGCAACTCAGTTTATAATTTTGCCGGATTAATTTCGCTAGAGCTGGAACATGTTTTGAGGCATAACTTGCTTGTCATATTGTTTGTTATCCTGGCAGCAAAACAGGCGGTCCTTGCATGAACATCATGCTTTGATGTGGATCACTGAATTCGTATAAAGAGTTGAGCACTAAACAACATCGCTATCCTACTGAGGATTAAATAGAATCAACTTTTGTACTATTTTTGTATAGTCTTTGGTYCTTCATTGAAAACTACTGAAAACATTTCGAAAAATCAAAGAATAGTGCGAGTCAAGATCTTTATCTACGACGAGGGATTATTACCCTACTAACCTCTTCATTAATATTGTAAAATCATGTCTGTAAAGCCCTCATCCCGCGCTCTCTTTTTCAATGTTGCCTGAACTAGGTATCTGGGCTATTATGCATCTTATTGCAATAATTGTAAAAAATGTCCATATTTTTCATTGCCGCTCTCACTGAATTTTGCCCTCCGTTGTGGCTGACGGCCTAAATGATCAATATTCATGATCATTACCGTTCCACAACTATATATATAAAAAAGATTTTTTACCGAAAAAACATTACTCACCAAGGCTTAAAAGGCCAAWAGCAAAAACACCTGACCACTTCATGATAGAAAATAAAACGAGCGTTAGCTTCCTCTCGTCTGCAGAGACTGTATTTTTTCTTCTCGGAAGAGCGATTTGTATGCTAATCTGACATTTGCCAAAGTCTGAAATTATTAATTACGCTTTGCTACGTCACGGAAAGTTAGAGCCAATCAGGGTACTTGTGAAAGAAAGGTCTAGAACACATGTTTTGTTTTGTTTTTGTTTCAGTTGCTATGAACTTTTTCAATTTGAAAAATATAATCATTTCGCGGCGTCCTACAATCATCTGAGTCCTTTCCCACTCCAAAAATAAAGAGAATAGCCTAAGTTGAGCTGATTACATGTAACAGTATTTTATGTTAAAATAAATGTGAAAACGCACGGCCGCTCGCGTTTCCCGTTCTCTATAAACATGAAAAAGTTGCATATACACCTACTTGCAGAAAGAGAGAATAGAACATTTGAATTTAGTAAAAAGGAATTATACTAAAACAAGACAAAAGAATGCGTTCATCCTCAGTGATCTTCCCTTGTCTTTTTTTAATTTATTCGATCCTTTTTACTAAATACAAATGTCCTATTTCCTATGACAACGTTTCTGCAAGTAGGTGTATCATCAGTCCACAATATTTTTTAAAAACAAATAAAGTGTTGCTCCCTAGCTGATCTATATATTATATATTACATATTTCTTTTTTAGATAGCAATAAARATGTTGCCTCCACCGAGCAAACACAAATGGAGGGTTCGCTTTGTATGATCTATTATTTCGAGTAATGATGTTGCAGTGACAGCTAGTGTTAACTACAACTTTTAAACTTCTTGTTATGAAGTTTCACATTCTTGTTTTGTCTCAAGGATTCCTGTGAATCATCGTTGCATAAGTTTCCTTCATTTGAAGCGAGAAGTGCGAGGCTCGCAATTCAAAGCTTTCGGTAATTACGAAATATCTTGAAGAAGGGATAGCTATGAAATATTTTGGTTGTGACAGTGATTATAAATATCTAGCTTTACCTCTTCGAAAACGGATCTTCCAGGCGGATATTCATGTAAACAGAAAATCTCTGCTTGTGGTCGTGTTGAAAGTTTAACTGCATTCAAATGAAGGGCTGTGACGCTAGGGTTTGCGTTTATTCTTGTACTCTAGCTATCCCGCCTTCACGAAGAATAGGACGAGTTTTATTTTTAAGTTAAAGTAAATTTATTGCACTAAGGGAATCAATCAAAGTAACTCATATTGATAATCAATCGGACATTGATAAATTCATACCCATCTTTAGAATCGAATATATCTGATTGCTTTTTCTCATTTTTTCTTAGAAATATGACCTCGTTATGTGCAACGGCGCAAACGGATACATTATAGCATCAGGGCGAGGGAGAGCTAGCGAGCGTGAGAAAGGAGAGAGAAAACGAGACCGAGATCGAGAGAAAGCGACACTGAAGCATGTGGCTTTCAGTATTTTTTGTGTCACGGCAATAGAGAGCATATTGAGCACTTTGAAGTAAACAATTTTACTTACCAAGGCTTACAAGCACTACTGCGAAGACAAGTGACAACTTCATGATCCTGACCAAAGGAGTGTCCGGCTGTCCTTTCGCTGTAATTATGTGCGATAGAGCAATCTGTTTTGAGCTTTATTTGGCCTAACACGCCGGTTACGTCATAGTATTTGAGCCAATAGATTAAACATTGCCATCCTCATGCAAATTTATTGAAAAACGTTGCGTGACAAGCACGAGACAAGCACGAGTTGATAAATCTATCTATGGCGGAATTTAATTTATGTTTTGAAAATATTTCCATTGCTCGACATCATACAGCCATGCACCACGAATTCAACCATTACTCAAGTTTCGAATTCTCTTTCGTGCAAGCTTTAGATTTCAATCAAGCATAACTTTTTATTTCCTTCTTTGTATACAGAATTTTTGCATTACAATAGGATCTCTGTTGAATAA